TTTGTGCTTTAAAAGAACAATAAACAAACAAGAGTAAGTGTCTTATTGTATTCTGACTAACTAGTATATTTGGATAGTTTACTTTTTAAATCCTCTGCTTACCAACTGATTAAATTCTATTGAAAATGCACTCTTTTTTTTTTTTAAAGGAGTTAGGAATATTCAGGGCAAAAAATATGAGTGGAGATATACCAAAATTTTTTTTGGACTAAAACTATTCTTGCGTTATTTTACGCTTGTCCCTGCACTCCCTCTACAGGTAAAGAGGAGGCAATTGTACTAGTTTTATTGCATGGATAGAAGTTGTATTTTCTCCTTAGTCTGCCAATCTTTACTTATCTGAGGGCCTCTAAGATATAGGCTGTGGATATAATAAAAATAGCTCTAAATACAAAGACCTGTCCAGTGAGAAATCGGGACAGGATATTTTCAAATTTTGGGGTCCATATACAAAGAAAATCCAATGTTATATCTATTACCCAGAAATCAATATCCTGTAAGATTTCTTTTACTTTCTCCAAAACATATACTTCCATGGTGGGTCTGAAGGCTGCCCTAATTTGATGGATAATTTTATAGGGTTATGTATAAGAAGGATCCTAGACTTGGCAAAAAGGAGTCCTACATTTATTCCTGGCTCTGCCTCTAAGTAGCATTTTCTCTCACTAGGTCTCAGTTTTCTCATCTTTAAAATAGAGAAGTTTAATAAATTTTCTCTCAGTTACATTCTCACATGAAAATCCTCAGTTTAAATATGATTAAATAAAGGGACAGAAAATACGTAAATAACAAACATTGTAAAGTGATATCGTGGAGACATGACAAGGTCTCATGAGATGGCCACAGAACTCTTTTCTTGAGTGAATATCATTCGAAAATGAAATGCTCAAGAGAACCAATTGTGCCCCAAAAGACGTGGCTCTACACCAAAACCAGGGCTCAGTGTCACAACGCAGGTATGGCTCGGGCAGCTCTGACTCTTTGCTGCCCTCTCATGTTTCAACACACTCTTTAGTTCTGCTCCTCACCATCCGCTAAGGACCTATGCACGTGAGCCTTGCACTAAGTATAGGGATTCCTAAAAATGCCCCATTGTTACTGTCTGCAAACAAAATCATAAATGAAGTGCACAAGTAAAGCTGACACATCATCAAGGTCCTCCTCTACGCTACCCGTTTTTTTTTTTTTTTTTTTTTTATTTATTTTTGCTGTGTTGGGTCTGCGTTTCTGTGCGAGGGCTTTCTCTAGTTGTGGCAAGCGGGGGCCACTCTTCATCGCGGTGCGCGGGCCTCTCACTATCACGGCCTCTCTTGTTGTGGAGCACAGGCTCCAGACGCACAGGCTCAGTAGTTGTGGCTCACGGGCCTAGTTGCTCCGCGGCATATGGGATCCTCCCAGACCAGGGCTCGAACCCGTGTCCCCTGCATTAGCAGGCAGACTCTCAACCACTGTGCCACCAGGGAAGCCCTACACTACCCGTTTTTAAAATAGCTTTAGGAACAAAAACAAAACGTCAGGCATGGAGGAGGGTTGTAGGAAGAAACACTTGGTGAGTTACTCATGACAGGCTTCTGTTCCTCATCTAACTTACCTCCTTGAATTCCTGCAACAGCACTGAGAGGAACTCCTATCTCCATTCTTCAAACGAGGGAATAAAGCGAATGAGAGATACAGGGTTTGCACTCAGGCCCCAAATGCCACACGCCAGTCTTTTTGTTATATTTAGCAGGAAGGCTCTTTTCTAAATGCACATTTGGAAACTTTATTTTTTAAAAAATTGTTAAATCGTTGTAGAGCTATGTATTTACATATTATGTATAGAAATAAAATCTGGCAACTAACTAACATGCTTTGGCCCTAATGATATACAATCAAACTTTTCTGGCTTTAACACATGTCAAATGGAATAACCTCTAAAGGGGAAAAGAGTGGTCTAAGTTCTATAGGAGCAAGTTTTAGAAGGTGTAGTGTGACAGAGGGAGAGAGTTAAAGTTCTCAACTCTTCTTTTATAAAACTCAAGAAGTTGACTTATGCAGAGTTAATTTTCTGTCTTCAAAGTTCTGTGACTCAAAAATAAGTTCTTCAACTTTGAAAATAATCCTGAACAATAGTTTATCATCCACACCACAAAGGCACCAATGCCTGTGGCTGTGATGAGAGGTCGGGATACAGTGCTGGGAGCAATTAGAGGCCCCACTTACAACAGGCACAAAGGAAGTGTGTGCATTTTGACCATTCTGGGGGGGATCCATAACTTTTACTCCTATGACCTTGCCAGTTTGTCTTTCACTCTTCCCTTTCCTTTTCTCATCTCTCTGGCCTGTTCTTTCCATCACCCCCTAGTTACATACAGCATGAATCCTAAAAACAAAAACCAATAAAAACAACAACAAAGCAAAATAAAATGATGCACTGAGTGCTTACTCTATGCTAAGAGCATTGTACAAATGAACTCATTTATTTAGCAATAACTGTATGAGGTATGATCGCTGTTTTGTAAATGGGAAAACAGGCAGCGATAGGCTATGTAACCTGCCCAGAGCCACACAGCTATCATGATAGAACATGGCTTGAATTCTGGACATGCAGAGCAGCTTCCTGCCCCCTGCCCCTCAATTCCAGGAGCGCCCTGTCAGTGCTGTTCTATGGAGCTGCCCTCCAGAGGCGCCTGGCGCTGTCTACCACAGCGACCTTTTGGACCAAACATGAACTTACCTGCATACTACACTGTTCCTCTAGAACCTAAGAAAAATTTCTAAGAAGGCCAAGTTCCTCTTCAAGCGTGACCCACTGACTCTTTTTAACACTTCTCCACTGCACTCACTTGCCAGGGAGCAAACTTGGAGTTAAGTCCTGAGCAGTCAGCTGCTGAGGGCAGGAATTCACAAGCACCACCTTTTCTGTATGTCTGAAGTCTCCCATCGAAGGCTCAACCACTACTGTTTTCATGATTTATGGTTTTAAGGGCATACTTTTTCAGAATGAGCTCAGAGAGAGGAATGTCCCTTGCTGTTGCCCTCATTCCCTCACCTCCTCATCTGACTTTTTCACCTTGGTTTACTATTCTTGGGCAAGGAAAAAGGCTTCCATTCACAAGTCATTTAATTTCCTGTTGTGCTTTGGGATGAACACAGCCGCACAAAGCCCTTAATGACAGTTAATTAGTTTCCCTTCCTAAATAAGATATTTCTAGAGCCCCACTGTCCCCAGGCCTCAGGTCAAGATCATGTGGGTACAAATGAGGCCATATTAGCCCAGATTTCTGTGGCTCACAGTCCCCTCTGGTATTGCTTCTGGGCCTCAGCACTATGTGAAATTTCTGGGAGCTTCGACGGGGCCTCTCATATGTGTTCAAGGCCAAGTCTGTGCCCTCTGAGTGCAGCTACTCCTTCTTTAATCAGTGCCAGACACTGGCCAGGGTGGCCGGACAGCTGTCCTGACCACAGAGCACCCACCACCTCTTGGTGGACATAGCAGCCTCCACTGGTACCTGCAGCTGCTCTTCTGGTAGGATGCTCTGTGGGGCTGGCTCATATGTGACCTCAAGCTACAAGCTTTCAGGGACCAAAATAGCACTGAGTTCTGCACAAACTGTGATGTCAGAGGAGTCTTACTTATTGCAAAGATAAAGGGGGTGACGGTCTCCCTCTTTATATGGGTCAGGTCTAGTGCTGGGAGCAGGGCTGGGGACCAGGTTCCATGTGGTCTCTCTCTTTAGAGGCCCCAGGTAGATGTGGGCTCTTTCATATTAAATTGGGGTTTCTGAAGAAGAAATCTGTTACTCCAAGAACTTACTTTAATCTGTAGGAATTTCAATTATTGTTCATCTCTTGACCAATGCCAAGAAGAAAATGGGTAAACCAGACATAAGACTATGAAATGCCAGTTGAAAATCATCACCAATAAGATCTTGAAAGATACACGTGGAAAAGAGAACCAATAATGTAACAGTCAGTGGAACACAAGTCCCATTTGAAAGGCATTCAAGAAAGACCAACATTAACTGCTGTCCCAGAATCACTTTGATGTGGTGACCACAAAGGAGCCCAGTTGAAAGGTCCTGACTGGACATGATGAAGTTAACTTTCAAGCAAAGTAGAGTCACTGATAATGTAATAATGAGCTCCTCTGCATATTACGAGCTGGTGTCCCAGGAAGACACTTGAATCAAGTGAAGTATATTGGTCTAGTTTGGAGAATATGTTAATTGTCTTCTGGTAATAATTTTAGAAAACATGGGTTTTCTTCTCCAGGCAATTATCTGAATGAATCAATTGGGGTTTCAAGAAATGATCAAATGAGTTCAATTTGGTTTCAGGTTTAGCAAAATGAGATCATCTGTTCTGTTTTTGGCTCAGCTGAGGTCAAGCCCCATGTCTAAAATAGACTAATAGGATTCAGAGTAATTTTATTCTTCTGACCTCTACGCCCCTCATCCTTCCATCCACTTCTCTTCCCCAAACATCTGTTCTTTTGATCTCATTGAACTTTTCTGTATTGTAAAATTCTTCTCTCCTCTCCCAGACTGAATTTAATCTCAACTCTCTGGGTCCAAATCAGGAGTACTGGAATGGTATTCCTTCCTACACACAACTGGGGAATTCATTAACCAAGAAGGTACCTTTTATTTATGCTTTGACTTTCATTAAACCAAGCTACCGTATATTAACATCATGCTGATAACACAAGCTCGGAAACATGGTCAGCGTTTCGAAGGTAATGCTATCTCTCAAAATACAAATGCCCAGAGCAACAGTCAACCGAGTAAGAGCAAAAATTTAACTTGTTTAAAAAAAAATGGCACATCAGTTAAGTTTTTCCAATAGGTTAAATGGACAACTTGTGAGATCGGTGAGAGAAATGATAATATAGAGAAGAAAGGATTAATTTCTTAAAGATTTTAGAATTGCAGAAAAAATTGGTGCTAATAAGGTTGAATCTTGGAAAAATATGCTTTTTTCCTAGATGTGAGAAGAATAATCTCCCAGGTCCTTCTTACCTGTTAGGGTGGCTTTGTTGATGGATGGTTGGTTGCACATGGGTGATCTTCTGACAAAGAGAGAAAAATACAGAGCTGTAAATATATGACACTTTGTTGGTCTGAGGACTCTCTGAGTCATTTCAGATATGCCATTTAAATTTAAGGATTATTTTTAAGTTAGGACATGCAAATGAAGAGCTCTTTCAGACTAGCCAGTCAAGTTCCTAGGTACCCTTTGTACTATAGTTCAGATCACATGTCAAAAAAAAAAAGCTAAATCACATGGTGATAGACTTTGGGGTAAATAAAGCTGATGTAAATGTCACAGAGACAAGAGAGAAGAGGAAGTCCTTATGGATTGACCGTATTCAATTAAGCCAGGGCTTACAGAGCAAACACAGACTTTCTGAACTTGAAAAAGCAGTCAGTCTACAATTGGTTTCTCTAGTACAGTGTTAAGAAACTTTTATTTTTGGCATAAATTCTCATGATTGCCTATACATTATCAGAAGTGAATGACTCCTTGTAAACTATATTGCACTTTGAGACGCTATTGTATTTCAACTTTTTCCTTTCTATTTTCTTATATTAAGAAACATCTCTGATCCATTTGTTAGAGAGGTATATTAACGATGGGTCCAAACAGATGCTACAGAGACTTTAGAAACACTATAAACTAAAGGTGCTTAAATCAATTCTATTTTGTATTCTCTAATTTTTCAGATGTTGGTGAACTTTCACACGATGATTATAAACCCCTTGGGGTAAAATTAAAACAAAAAAACATCCCATGCTATTTGATTAACTTGTATTCCCTGCAGAGCCCAGCACAATGTGTCCACTGCTTAATCAATTATGTTGAAGAAAATATCATTTATGGAATCTCCATTAAGTTTTTTTGGTAGTTTTTTTTTTTTTTTTTTAAATAATACACAATGTATGTATTTATTTATTTATTTATGGCTGTGTTGGGTCTTCATTTCTGTGCATGGGCTTTCTCTAGTTGTGGCAAGTGGGGGTCACTCTTCATCGTGGTGCGCAGGCCTCTCACTATCGCGGCCTCTGTTGTTGCGGAGCACAGGCTCCAGATGTGCAGGCTCAGTAATTGTGGCTCACGGGCCCAGTTGCTCCATGGCATGTGGGATTTTCCTAGACCAGGGCTCGAACCTGTGTCGTCTGCATTGGCAGGCAGATTCTCAACCACTGCGCCACCAGGGAAGCCCTTTTGGTAGTTTTTATAAAGTTGTTACTTACAATTGAAAGCTCTTAAAATTAGTGATCTTTAAGAAAATTTTAGAAAATAGATACATTCAAGGGTGTCTGAAAAATGTTTGTTTTCATTTCTTGGGGTTGTTTGTTTTGGTACTTCTAGTAGTGGCTAACACTTTAATAAGGACTTACTGTGTGTCTGATGCTGTGCTAAATGAGCACTTTAGATGAATTATCTCATTTAATCCCTCATAACAAACCTTAAGGCAGGCAGACTCATGGTTCCCATTTTACCAACAAGGAAAACACAAGCTTTGGAAATTTAAATCACTTCTTCAAAGTTAGAAAGCTGAGATTTGAACTAAAGCAATGCGATTCTAGGGCCTGCACTCTGCTATGTTGCCTTATTTTTAGGCTGCTTTTGTGGAACCTGTGCAGATGGCAGGTTCCTGCAGAGCCCTGGTCCAATCTGCCTTCCCTTAAGAGATGATGAATCTCTTAGCAGGGCTGGAAGATACATGGGGAAAGCAGTCTGGTACTTTTTAAATTCCCACTGCCTTGGTTCCAGTCAGCATCTGGCTCTGTCTTATTGCTCTTAAATTTACTGATATCAGTTTGGGATTGAAAATTTGCATTTGATTGAAAATGCACCAAAATTTACTTCTGAGTTATTTCAGTTTTTGTTATGAAATAAAATGGGAGAATTTGAAACTTAACTAATGCTTTATTAAAAAGAAAGGTTAATGTTTAAAACTGCTACTCTGAAATAGTTTTGGTCTATATACTAATAGATAGCTACTTGCTGAGAGTTTATCATTCAAATCATTTATATAATGATTACTCCTTTTTAGTCCTTGCTCTGTGAAAATTTAGAAAGCATTTATTTTGTCTAGGAAAGGCATCAAAGACATATTTTTAAACTTTTCTGTAGTTTTGAAAACCACATCATGGACTTGTTTCTTATTATCTTCTTTTGATTTCAATCCTACAACGGCCATTTGGGAACTTGATATTTCAACAAGTAACGACAAGCAGAAAATATCAATCATTTGATCCATGGCTACAGTGATAAATCAGTTAATGAAGAATGAGCCAGAACTCACTTCTGGAATGGAAAATCTCAAGGGCAAGGAAGAGCAAGGGGACAGGAACCAGCAGCGAGTTAGCAAAAGTCAGCCACGTGCAAGTGAGGACCTTCAGGGCTCAGGGCTTCAGATGCATCCTTCTAGGCTCCTTTCTTTTTTTTTTTTACATGTGAAAATAAAATATTTATTTTCATACTTATTATATAATATGGCCTTTTGTGACTGGTTTCTTTCACGTAGTGTAATGTTACAGTTCATCTGTGTTGTAGCGTGTATCAGTACTCTATTCAAACAATATTTTGTTTATCCATTTGTCAGCTAATGGACATTTGTGTTGTTTCCATCTTTTAGCTATTGTGAATAGTCCTGCTAAGAATGTTTATGTACAAGTTTTTGTTGAACACCTTTTCACTTCTTTTGGGTGTATACCCAGGAATGAAATTATGAGGTCATATGGTAATTTTATGTTAATTTACTAAGGAACTGCCAGACCTACTATAAACTGTTTTCCACAGTGTCTGTACTATTTAACATTTCCACCAGCAATGAATAAGAGTTCCAATTTCTCCACATCCTTGTCAACACTTGCTATTTTCCCTTTATTATTATAGCTATCCAAGTGGATGTGAGGTAGCATCTCACTGTGGTTTAAATTTGCATTTCTTTTTTTTTTTTTTTTTTTTTTTTTTTTTATATTTTCTGAATTTTCTAGTAAATATTTTTAAAACATCATGGAGTGAAGCAGAAACACACCATTGTAGGCTCCTTTCTTGTAGTAAATAGTAAAGGTGGATCATGAAAGCTAGCATATGCCTTCCACAAAATCCAGCGGTGAGCTTGGGAGTGTTCTAGTGGCACTGTGAGTACCCTGCGGGGGAATTCTGGCTCCCTGGGGTCATCACGTGATGCACCATTTTGCTATCCATATCCATTTTGCTATCACTGAACAGAACAGAGTTTATCTGTGTGTAGATTGAGTCCTACTATTCTGATACCTGAAAAGGCTGATTGGGTTTGAATCAGTAAAGGAGGTACCAATCTGTACTGACCAAAAGAGAGACCACAAACACCTTCACTTAGGGTCTGCCAGATAATACTGTTTGGTTAGACTTCACCCAGGGTGATGACGCTGTGCTGGGTATTACACTAGGCACCGGGAATTCAAATGTGGACTGGATACGACCTCTGCTCTCTGGGAACTGACATTCTTAAGACAAGCAAATAGGCAACTGGACACTGAGAGAAACATGCTAAAGCAGGGGTTAAGGACAGGATGCAATCAGATGGCAATGGAAAAGCATACCACCCAGGTTGGGGCCTGTGGGTGTGCATGCATGTTGGGTGTTAGTCAGAGACAGTGCCCCAAATGAAATTATATTTAAGCTGTAACCTAAAGAATGAACTACAATTAGACCAGTGGATGAGGAGGGGAAGAAGAAGGTGAGAAATGCTCAGGCTAAGGGAACAGGACTGCAAAATTTCATCACCTGCAACACACGACAGTCAACTGACACCTCTGGGTTCCATTCCAATTATTTGCATCGTGGCATTTATATTGATTTTTTTTTTTTTTAAAAAAAACCTTGTTCTATCACAAGAAGTATGTGCATAATGGCCAGAGCTTTTTTTAATCATGGAAAACGTGAATTTGGGAGGTAGATTCTATTATTATGGGATGGAAAGTCTAGATTTTTTTTTTCATGTGTTCTTTAAGAAGTAGTAATTACCACAAAATTTTATATGCTTAGATAAGTTCAAATACATTTCTATTCACTGTCCTCTTAATATTGATTTAAGGAAATGGTTTTGGGCTTCCCTGGTGGTGCAGTGGTTGAGAGTCTGCCTGCCGATGCAGGGGACACGGGTTCGTGCCCCAATCCGGGAAGATCCCACGTGTCGCGGAGCGGCTGGGCCCGTGAGCCATGGCCGCTGGGCCTGCGCGTCCGGAGCCTGTGCGCCGCAACGGAAGAGGCCACAACGGTGAGAGACCCGCGTACCGCAAAAAAAAAAAAAAAGAAATGGTTTTATTTCTGGAAAATTCTTCCGAGTTGATATTTTAAAGATAATATTGTATTATTCATAATAGATTGTCAAAATTATGGCATTTGAATAATCAGTTTTCCATTTAATCTTAGAAAATTAATTTTATTTTTTTCATTTTCCTTCTTTATTAGGATCCCCAAATTATAGTTATTTTCCATCTGAGCTTTCTCTCTCAAATGCTTCCCCTGTTATCCCATAAATCCTCATCTTGTTAACTCTTCCATGCTGCTGCCGATCTGAGTCAGTAACAGAAAGAGAATTAGCGATCTTCCCTATGGTATGACACTTCTGCAAGTAATGGTTGTCTTAGAAGTAAGAGGATAACTTTGGGTTGACTTCAAAGCTTGATGACGTTATTTGTCCATGGTAAATTTATGAATTAAGCCAAACCTATAAAGTTACCCTGAGTGTAAATACCCTGAGTGGGCAGAGGACTGATCCTGCCAGGTGATTTCTGACAGATGGAATCACCATATTTATTTGCCATCCTGATTCATTTCTGTTATGAGAACCATCACTACAAAGTATTTACAGAAAATTAACAGGACTTCATATGACTTAGTGTAAATGGTTAGACAGCATGGCAATGATTCAGAGAAATCTAATACACTGCCTTGAGTTCAACCAAATGGAAAAAACACTATAAAAAGTTCAGCCAGAAGGAGGGGGGAAAAAATGAATAACTTACTTGCTGGGTGCTCGGTCTTGCAAATTAGTCAATGCAGCAAAGTTGTTCCGTACAGTTCGCAGGCTGGCCAAGACCTACAACAAAAATGATTGTTTAAACTTCTTGAAATAAGGCCCTCTTTAATGCAATATGAAGTGGTTTGGTGATTTTTAAAAATGGTTTGTTAAGTGAAAATTTGATATTGCTTGCAACTTAGTTTCATATAGTACTGAAGAATCTCAGCACCTGGTAAAGTTTACATGGATCCATTTGAAAGCCAGAGAGGCCAGACTTAAGGATTTTCCAGATATTTCTCCTCATCGTCTATGAATATGGTGACAATAGCAGCAGTTTCCACAGTATTCCTGGATTCCCCAGCCACTAAAACAGTATCCCAGGCAATATGGATAGTGTGCTGTTGCATTTTATGCATATTTGAAAGAGCATAATATAAAATATTAATAAAGTCTCACTATAGGGGCAAAATGTCAAACAAAATTACCCCCAAATTCTCTTCAAACGTTCACCAATGATGCCATAATCTTGAAATTGGCAAACAAAGTAAATTTTAAATTGTTTTTTCACCTTTGCCACATGGTTATTCTAGCTGGTAAACAGATTCTTTTCTTTGTTAAGGTTATCTGAATCATGAATTACATGGTCTCAAATAAAGTGAGACTGTCCTGTATGTGCACAGTGCCTGGCCCACAGAGGACACTCAAGAAAAATTTGTTGAATAAATGAATACATAGACACAACATACACAAGGCTGGACCAATAGGTCCCACTATCTCTGATAGCCCCTCCTTTTTCTAATTCTAGTGAAACTATAAAGTGGCAAAAGAATCGAAAGACTAGGAGAGAAAAGTGACAAGAGCACTGTCTCCTTCTACCCCCCTCACTTTCTCCTAGAATGGACAAGTCTCTCCCAGGGTGGAGCCTATATTAGGTGAGGTTATGGGTCATCTGGGTGACAACGACAATGTTAAGTTTACCTAAAACATAGATTTCAGATGTCTTATTAGGTACCAATAACACCCCAGACTGCCTAGTTCTGTTATATAGTCAATGTGTGAACTTAGACAAGTTGCATCATCTCTCTGACCCTTAGTTTCTCATCTGTACACCAGGATAGTGACATCTACCTCACAGGGTTGCTGTGAAAATGAGATTAAATGACAGTTTCGGTGCCAAGAACAGTGCCTGGCAAACAGAAGGCACTCAGTGAATATTAGCCCATTATGGCAACATTCCATTTAATGATTTGGCGTGTGCACAGGGAATTCACTTAATGCCTATAACTGACAATATGCTGGTGGCAGTGGGAGCAGGGCAAAATTTTTATAATTGCTCCAAGGGTTCCAGAGCTGATTCCAGAATTTTGTCATTTGGCACTGACGTAGACTAAAGTCAGTGTAAATTTTTTTTAAGACAAAATGTCTCAGACATTTTTGAAACTGGCATTAATTCTTCTAAGTCACTGGGATACTGTTTATGCCCTGGGACAGTGACCTACAGCATTATCCCCTGAAGGAGTTAATAGTGTTTCCTAAGGTGCCAACCACGATTAACTCAGTCACTGGAAAAATCTGGCTCATTATCACATATAAACAACTCACATTGCCGAAAGGTCACGCTGCCTATGACGGAGTATTCAAATAGCCAACTGCTGACATCAAACCACGATGTCTTTTATTAGGCATGAAATCTTGAGTGATGCAGAAAGAAATCTGACAAATCATGCAGGCTGAATTTATACTTTAAGAATTGAATATCAAATACACTAATAAAGCATTTTAAATAAGATTATTGTACCCCCTGATTGATCCTTATTCTAGGCAAAAATTTAACCTCAGAATTCAGAGAACTTTATTTTAATAAATTATAGTAAGTGCACTGCATCTGACAGCTGGGCAAATAGAAATAGTAGCGCAGGTAATTCATGTTCTATGCTCATTTGAAAGGAAGCATTACTTCATGAAAGATCTGCTCCACTTGCTTTTCTGGATACAGCTTTTTGCCTCTGTTATAATAAAGATATTAAATCAGATGATTTTATTTTGGTTTTTAATTTAAATTTAATTTTAAAATTTTATATTTATTTTTGCATAATCTCCATCCCCACATGGTACAGAATTTAAGCAAAAAGTAGACTGTCTCTTTCTCAATAACAAAGACAAAAGCAAAATTATTGTTATTTCTGAGAGGAGGCAGATAGATGAAATCAGGGAAGGACACTCAGGGCATTAAAATCTTGGCACTGTTCTATTTCTTAAACTGTTGATTTTAGTACTGTTCTTTATATTTTAGAAAGTCACTAGATAGCTTCTCTTATATGGGTGAAATATTTCAAAATAGAAAGTGAAGAAAGAAATTTCCCTTTCAGCCCTTTCTCCATTCAGCTGCCTGTGCCCTCTCCTCATTGACTTTTAGATTGTCTCCTAAATTTCACTTTTACAAACACTGCTGCAGTAAATAACCTTGCAGCTACGTCATTCCCTATGTGTGCAAGTATTACATTGTTGTTTTTGTGGTAGGACAAATAATATTTTATACATGTTATGTTAAGTATTAACTATTCTCGCCTGCACTATGACACATGATACTGGCAAGAAGTGTAAATAAAAGTCTCAACCAAATGTTATAAGGGGGTGTTGCCCTAGGCCGAGTTGAGTGATCCTGGGTGACTACATCCCAAAGGCACTGTGTTAGTCTTTTCTGTTCCCGCCTGCATTGCAGGACACAAAGAGTGAGGTATCTACTACTACAGGCTGTGGGGAAGAACTAGAAACAGTTTTACACAAGCCCCTTAGTTACGGTTCAATCTTTCCTTGCTTTTGTTACAGGGCAGCTCTCACCCTTCTTGAATTCAACCCTCTAAGAGCTATAGTCAGGGCTCTGACGATCCTATAATTTTCTTCACTCTTTAATGCTTGCTACCCAAAAAGGTCCCTGAGGTTTTCTCCCACACAGCCCAACGGTTAGAAACTTAAGGTCATTTCTTTCTCTTCTGCCCCTCCAAGCAAAAGTATAATCAGTCAAGGTCAAAATATATTGGGAATGAGGAGAAATAATACACTTTAGGAAAGAAATGATGACAGTGTTATGGAAAACTTTTGCACAGAGTTGTACTGGTCTGTGAGAGGGATTAAATGCTATTTGCACACACTAATCTCAGACTTTCTTAGGTATTTCTAAACATTTATTAACCAATAAGATTCACTGAAAATGGCAGGAAAATGTGGACTTCATTAAAAAGTTAAACATCTGAACACACTAGCCTAAAAGAAATGTGTACTTATATAATAATAATTTCTTATAAAGATTTGAAGAGGAGATTGCTTTAAAAAAAAAAAAAAAGATGTGGCAATAACATCCGTGTTAAAAAAAACTCCTGCTTAAAAAATAACTAAAAAAACCAAAAACAAAGAAACAAAAAATTGTTTCGAGGATTGTTTTTGATTCCAAATACACTTTATGCCACTAGATGGCACTAAAACACAGACCATGAGTTGCCACAGGCCTTGGGTTGGGTGGGGTGGGAGGGGCTGAGGAGGGAGAAAGAACTCCTTGCCTTGGTTTTACCTCCAGAAAAACCTGGAGCCAAATTATGATTATTTACAAGACAAAGAGGTCATTTTGATAGAAAAACCCCTTTCCAAGTTACGTTTTGGTTAAACCATATGAACTTGCTGTTTTTGTATGTCAGCAAAGGTTGTATATTGATAGTTTCATATAGTTCAACCCCCAAAGTACTTAGATTCCTAGAACAGGCTACTGAAATTTATTTTAATGAAGGATAAAAAAAACCTAACAGGTATAAGCAACTGAAATGTGATGATTTTCTTCTTTCTTAGCCCGGCAGGGAGAGCCTGTTGGATTCAATGATGAGACCACAAGATTCCTGTTTCTGGGTGAAATGGGGAAGAGACACGCAAGGGCATTTTTATAAAATTGACAATGTCCAATTACCAAGGAACAGTAATGTTCTACAGGGTTAATAACCACTGCATTTTTCCTAAAATTATCCCATGTGCTGTATTTTGGTAAGAGTAAAGGTGAAATGACTTGCTTGTTCCTACCCTGTATTTTTAAATCAGGCATATCTGCTCAGTCTGAATGACGTGAAGGTCTCTCCAAGGATCCAGGATAATACTTGGATATTTCCTATCTTTTCCTTAACCAAAGATTCCACTTCTTTTATTGCACACCTCCAGAGGAGGATTCTAGTTGACTTAGAGTTTTACAAGGTAGTCACAAATGATGCAACACAAATAATGGGACAGGTGGGGCTGAAGGCAAATGACTACAAAGCAAGGTTCCCTACATTTCATCAGTGTTGTGCCTCCTTGGTGTTCCTTGGTCCCCTCAAGAACTCTGGCCAAATTGTGACTACAGCCTTGGGAGGAAAAGGTCACCTGCCGACTGGCATCAGGTGACACGGCATCATTCCTGTCAACACTTACCCTAAGGGAATACCCAAACCAAAAGATTTTGACCCAAACACAGGAGAATAGTTCAAAATGGAAACCAATAAAATATTTATTTTCCTGGGGATCAAAAGGATTCTGAGCTTATAGGGGAAAACGTAAGAAATTGCAAGTGGAAAGGTGTTTAGGTTGAACACCAGCAAGAATTTCTAACCCTGACAGTGTTTTAGACTTGGGAATAGAATATGGAGGGGTATTGTAGGATCTTGTATTGTAGGATCTTTGCTGAAGATTACATCTGTGCACGATGCTTCAGCCCTATCCACCAAAGTGGAATATGACCTTGCACGACTTCCTAAATTCTCTCGTAATTTAAGATTTTATTCTCTTAGCTTCACAGTAAACTGTGACTGGGAAACAACAGGGAGGGATCTTTTCGTGTTTTGGAGATGAAGGCAAGCATAAAGAAATGAGTTCTCAAGAGGAGGCAGAAGATAAGATGGGCTTGGGAAGAGACTTTGACCAGTTTAGAGTGGGAGGCCCATTTTAAAGAATTATGGGAAGGAAATTAGGCACAGAAAAATAAACCGAAAGGGATATAAAGTAAAATGTCAATAGTAGTTATTTTGGGGTTTGGAATTATAGGAAATTTTCTTTTTCTTCCTTTTGCTTGTATTTCTTTTCTATGCAAAAGATTTTATTTTGAAAGCAGTATGGCTTTTTCACCAGAATAATCTAGTGTGAAGTTCCAAACCCCAAAGCATGCTGGGGAAAGGGGGGAATTCTTTGGCCTATTTGAACACTTCCCTGAGTGACCTGTCTAATGTCTACTGTCTTCTGTCCATTGGTATATCTGACCAAATAATGTTGGTATCAATTCAAGTGACATAAACATCTTACAGCTTAAGCATTATAATATTTAGCATTAAATGGAGAATACTCCAGCCTGTATTAAAAATTTGAGGAGTTATTGGTTAGGTCAATGAAATAAGTTAGTGGTTCCCAATTGGGCTGAAGAGAAAGCCATAGACAACTGCCACTAACTGGGCCTTCTTTCTTAGCTGCTTCCCCAAAGATGCTCTATCAAAATTGTTCAGGGTTAAACAGGCTTTAAAAAAAAATTCTACTAGAGCTTTCTAGATCATATACCCTAGTAAAAGGCCATTTGTGAAAACTGTGATGAAGCCACTGAAAAAGAATCTGCAGCCTCTGGGGCAATAATCACCTTCTATAAGGTGTCATGAGTCACTAAGCTAATCATAAGCAAACTTTCCTAAATAGATTCCAGGATTATTTTCAGGCATCGTATATGCTTACAAATTACACAGAGCTGGTTTTATTCAAAGTTCCAATTTCAAGGGCATTAAGTATATATCTTATTTATTTAAACAGTTCACTAACACAGACTAAATGATACTTTACATATATATATTTCTCAGTATACTGAAATTCTATTAGATTTTTGGAGATTGTAAGTACACTAAAAAAAATGCCTAATTATGTAAAAGACTAGATTTCCTTAGAATTTAAGGGTGCTAATAGCAAGGTTCAAGTCAAATTTATTGACCAGTTAGTTGGAGATTCATACATACTACCTGAAGTAAGATGATAAGGTATCATATACAGATTATTTTTTTCCATATTTTACTATATATTTATGTATATTTTTCTTACAACAATACCTAGAGATTTTAGTGAGAAGCAAGAATAATAACCTAAATAAACTCAAGTTGGAATGATTGTTTCTACATTTGGTGATGGTTATTTATATATTATTTTGCCTGATTTATTCTGTCTACTGAGAGCTCTATATCTAAGAGCTCTGAGCTCTTAGATATAAAGTTATGGGTCCTCAATGGCAACCAATTAAAAGTCCTTAGCTTTGTAAGATTTGCTATCACAAAATATGATGAAAACATATGATTGTAAATGTTTTGGACATAGAAATATAGATATTAGAAAGAACTAATGATATCCAGCAAAACTTGAAGCAAATGAGACATTAACCTTCTAAAAGGATGGTGGTTGCATTCTATCTTTAGTTGTCTGCATCAATGAAAAAGATCACTATATACTTTGCTATTTACTGACTCATTAAATTTTTGGTCTAAATTATAGCAATTAAAAAATTTCAGGAAATTTGAAAAAGTGGAAGAATCATACATGATACTGCTACCCAAACCCTGCCATTATGCATTTTTTAAAAACAATGCGTATTATGACGTTTTGGAGATGAAAGAACCCTTACTGATAACAACACAAAATTCAGTAAGTATTTTATTTTCTAGAAATTGTGCTGAGCGTTTTACAAGCATGGTACTATTTCAATCTGTTGACAACGTTATGAGGTGAGTAGTCTTTTAAGTGTCATTTCACAGAGGAGGAAACCAGGCTTGCCCAAGTGCAGTCAGTTGTCCAGGTTCATTCTTTTAGCAAGAGTAGATGATGGGCTTTGACTGGGCCCTGACTATCTTAATCCAGCTGAGTCCCCAATTTTACCAATTGGAAAAAAGAAGTCTTAGGCAAGGTAAGTGAGTTGCCCAAGGCAATAGAGCTAGTTTTGATGTAGCCTTGATTATGATTTTTATAACCCTCTAGATCACTTGTATTCCAACAGTTAACATTTCCTATTAAGAGTCAGTGTTGGCTTTAAACATGCTTCATGCCCCAGGTTGGATCAGTTTTATCCCATTCTATCCACAGTCTGCCCATACCAGTGGCTCTCAACTTTTCCTCAGAAAATACTGGGGCCTTTAAAAATTACAGGTGTTTGGGTCCAACCCCCAGATTTTTGGATTCAATTGATCAGAGGTGCAGCATGGGATAAAATCTTTCTAGCTGATTCTAATGTGTGGCTAGAGTTGAGAAGCACTGGTCTATACAAAGAATATCGGGTTATCAACCACTTTAAATATATTCCAAAATTCTTTAGATGTTTTTTTCACCTTCTAGCATTTCTGTCATATGGTTAAAGTATTTTCATGATTTGTATACCTAAAAGGAATAAATAAACACAAATATGTCACTCAGTTAAATCTCTGGACAAATAACGTGTTTAAAAAAAGAGTAAATAAAGCATCAGGTTGAAGTGGAATACGGAATTTCAAGCACTGATCATGCACCTAATTATACTAAATGTAACTTAATCCATGATATAGCTTTCCTCTTTTGGTGCTTATGTCAGTTAAGGAAATGTGGTCCCATTTAAGTATGTCACTTGGGTAATTTGTAATTTGAAGCAAAGATACTCATTGGGTCTATGGGTTTATAGGAAACAGACCAATATGGCCAAGGTCACATTCTCTAGCATGGCTTTTAAATTACTGGAATGAACGACAGAATTTGTATTTGTACTTGTGTTTGATTTAGAATGAAATTAAGAACCCGAACTAACCCCCACAATTAAATTTTCAGATGAGTGAGAAACCTGTCCATTCAGCAAGCTGGGCTTACCTGTGCAAAGGGAGTCACAATCAGGTCATCTCCATGTCTGAAAAACAAACCAAAGCCCACGTTAGATGGCACTGATCACTCTAGGACCACTTTCAAGCAATATTAAATAGCAAGTTTCTCATTCATAAATCCCCACAGAGAATTACAGTAATTCCATCCTTATTCTTCAACACATGTTCTTCTCAGTCACGGGCATGAAGATGTGTCTTCTGGGATGTTAACCATTGTCCAGTTCCCTGGGTGAAAAGAGGGGCTTCTTGATCATCAACCAAGGTCACTGGCACTTATTAAGCACACAGGATATATAACAGTAGAAACGGAGTTCCAGCAGCGGGGCCTGAGTTTTACTCTTTGCTGCTTATGGTAAGTATTACTGAAGGGTGCTGTGGAAGGAGCCAGCAACGGCAATGGCTCTGGTGAGAGGTCCCTGGACCATCTAACGTTGGAAGGTGATGAGCATCAGGTGCTCTGCATCATCATGTGTGAGCCTTGGATGGGCTCGGAACTGTGGATGACATAAGACTGCGTCATACTCTAATAAAAACCAGTGAAACTTTTCAACTGACTCACGTCCCAGCCGCCGTAGTTACGGGGGAATGTTACCCCGTGTGTGCTGTTGTTACAGCAACCTCAGTGACACTGTGCCGAGGATGCAGGAGCAAGGTGTCAGCATGACGTGTCTTGGAGGGACAGGGAGAGGCAAGGAAAGTTGTGAACATTCTGCTTGGAAGAAAGTAAGAAACCCAGGCCCAGAGTTCTTTTGTGGTGTTTCTTCGTATGAATGGTTCATGAGAAGGATTTCCAAAATCTCCACGGGATATTTCTTGATCTAGTTAGCTGGACCTTTTTTTTTTTTGCGGTATGTGGGCCTCTCACTGTTGTGGCCTCTCCCATTGTGGAGCACAGGCTCCGGACGAGCAGGCTCAGCGGCCATGGCTCACGGGCCCAGCCGCTCCACGGCATGTGGGATCTTCCCAGACCGGGACACGAACCCGTATCCCCTGCATCGGCAGGCGGACTCTCAACCACTGCGCCACCAGGGAAGCCCGAGCTGGACCTCTTTAATCAAAAGGGAATGGAATTATTCTACACACAAAGCTTCTGGACATGACCCTAACTGAGAACATTGCAACTAAATGGTTCACTCACTCATGAACAATTCTGGAAAGGACTTGAGTGACCTAAAACAGCACTCATGAAATATGCTTCGGCAGAAGCAGCATATGGATGACGTTAGTAAATGGATTGCTGCCAATAATTAGACCAGTTGTTAAGGTCGTCATCAAATTACACAGAGATCCTGAAATTCAAAGTGTGGGAAAAATAAAGCAGAAAAGGGGTGGAACACACTCTAAAGGAAATGTGTGTTATTTTGCACCCTCTTCGTTCCACAGTTACATTTTTGAGGGGCACTGCTCTTTGGAGAGATTATTCAGAGAGCCAAAATTTAACTAATACAAAATCTAGGTATTTTCCTGAGGTACAGTCTTTTCTTCCATTTTATTCTTTATAATTTCCCAACTACAAAGTTTATTTTCTAAGAACTTAGTCATCTTGGCCAAGGCACAGTATCATTCTGAAATCAATCCCTGGAAATAAGTCTTTTAATTTTTCACATGAATTACACTGGATTTCAATCACTCGAAACTGAAAAGCATGTGTATGTGTATTAAAACACTTAATTCTATCTTTGGCTATATTTCATTCCCAAGCACTATAAAATATTTATTTAGAATATATAATATTTAGGGTAATTTATCAGTCTTGCTTTCTTTCCGTGTCAAAGCATAAAGAAAATTAGTTATAATTTTAGTGATGGAAATATTTCACTCTTGACTTACCCAGAAATTGTTTTTGCCAAATATCTCAAGACTGTCTCATTTTAGTGACAGTAGAATTATTTCTAGCAATCCAGTGGCAAATGTCCTCAATAAATAACCTATCCTTTTCTTTTCAAAATTATGTAAGGTTTAAATTATCTCTGAATAGGGACTTCCCTGGTGGCACAGAGGTTAAGAATCGGCCTTCCAAAGCAGGGGACACAGGTTCAAGCCCTGGTCCGGGAAGATCCCACATGCCATGGAGCAGCTAAGCCTGTGCGTCACAACTACGGAGCCTGTGAGCCACAAATACTGAAGCCTGTGCGCCTAGAGCCTGTGCCATGAGAAGCCCGGGCACCGCAACGAGTCACCGCAACTAGAGAAAGCCTGCACGCAGTGACGAAGACCCGACGCGGCCAAACATACTTACATAAATAAATAAGTTTTTCAAAAAAAAAATACATTATCTCTGAATATATACCGAATGTATAATGACAGAATCTTTTCCAAGTCTTTGTTGGTAGCCTGCCCTCGAGACCATGGGCTGAACTGGAGCCACCCACTCTGGCCCCTGGGGCAGGGGCAGCCTCTGCCCTCCCTCAAAGAGAAGCTTGCTGAGTTCTGAGCCTGCACTGCTGGCCACTGGAGGTGGAGATAGGAGGCTCAGCAGCACACCACTGAACTTCCTGTTCTTCCAGGGAGGGATGACAATAGAGTCAAGAACTACTCCCTATGCCTCTGGCCATCCTTCCGCTACTTTTGTATTATTTACTACAGTGCTTTCATTTCTACCCTCATTCTTTCTGCAATAAGAGGCCAGAAACACTGGCAAGAAACTGAAAGAGAGAAATCAAAAAGCAAACCCTCACAGACTCCTCACTGGGATCCAGAAACTGTTTAAGCACTTAAATGGGGAAAAGCCTCTTGCCCTCTTGCAAAATAAACTCAACCAACAGCAGCGCCTGAAAATACCGTTTTGTAACCTAGTTCATTTCAAGATTGTGTTTGAAACACACGAGGCAACGACCTTTCCACGCTTTATTATTACCAAACCAGCAGTTAATTAGAAGAAAGTTTATACTTTACTGAGAGAAGATTTCTAATCCTATGAAGCTGTGAAAAGCATTAGAGGCCACAAAGTATCTGCTGCTTCTGAATATCACGCATTGCAAATTTCAGGATGGTAAGTGGCTGGATGAGCTAGTGCTTTGAAGAGGGGCCATGGTCTGAGGCTAACTTCCTGAATGTTGTGCAAACTTTTTGATCTTCTGTGCTTCACTCTCTCTGGCTATAAAACCAGAAAGACATTCTCCTCTGGAGTTTGTCAGTAGGATTAAGGAAATGATAAACATACAGATAGTGGTATTTTGAAATCCTGGTGTCTTTCTTCCCTTAGACTCAAATCTATCACCCATTCATCACCATCTTTGATCCACCTCTTTTAAAAGTAGAGAGTCATTAGAGAACAAGTATGTTCTTATTTTTAATATGTACATAAAAATGCTACTGGGAGCCCAACACAAAAAATGCATTTAGAAGCATAAAAATGCTTCTGGGAGCCCTGTTTGACAACACCCAGGAGTTAGCCACAGGAGGAACTTTTCTACTCACCACTCTTTACTCCCATGTTCACAGAAGTAAGGACATAGAAAATAAACAAACAAATACATACACAATGTACCTGATCTTGTAAAAGCTAACATTTATACATAGACTGAATGTAAAACACATATTAACTGTAGAAACTTTGGGAAATACAGAAAAATTTTAAGAGCCATCCAAAGATAACTGTTGTAATGATTTATTTTTTCCAAAAAAATAATGTGGGCTCTGAGAAAATGTAAATGTCACATTTAAGAATATAATGAACCTTTTAAAATTACTTTTGAAGGAGGTATTATAATTTCCATAAACTTCTAGTAGACAAATTACTACTAAAACAAACAAAAAACAAACGAAAAACTCTGCTTCATCGGTAGCAGATTCACCTGAGGATATGGCTTCTCTGCATTGCTTGGCCTTTTAGTTTAGAACTAGCTCCACTGTAAGTAAAAAAAAAATTAACTAGTCCTTCCGCTTATGGAACCCCAGGGACTGAAGTTCCTATAACACAAAGCCAACCTCAGCCATACCTGAAAGTGATCTTCCTCTTTGATGCTACTGCCACTTAGAATTAAAGTAATCCCTTTAACACAAAAGCTTGGTCCTGTGGTCAAAATCACAACTACAGAAACTTGCATTTTGGAAAGAATGTCCAGCAACATTTTACTGAGAACCAAAAATAATGTAAATTAATATAAGATCAAAATTAAAGCAGTTCAGTATTGTGTACAGTAGTATCTTTCAATTTGAAATTTTTCAATGTCAAATTCCAAGCCATTTGTGCATGTCTGTATACACAACTCTGATGGTTTTTCGATAATGCTAACTATAGTTATCAGTCATCAAGCTGAGATGATCACCCTCACTTGAAGATCACCTTTGTGTTTATATTCCATATCAGCACCAAAAGAAGAAACCAAATTACAGCCCTTTCCCCAGTTTTAACAGACAAGCTAATACCTATTCTACAAAAACAGGTGACTGAGGTCATCCAAGTTCTTAACTTTATGAGGAAACAGCTTTCTTTGTCCTTGAATTGTAATTTCCTAATAGACTTGAGTGGTAACTTATCCTGGCATCCCTTTCACTGATGCCCAGGAAAGTCACTCAATGTTTTGTTGATTTCAGCTCTGGGGGCCCTTTTAATATGTTCCCAGTATTTTTTATTTCTTAAATGGGCTTTCAATATAATTATTTTAAAAAATCAGAGTACAAATATCCAACAAACTGATAAATAATAATGGTATTACTTTCAAACAGTTATAATTTTTATAAAACAATAATGATAACCAATATTTATCAAATGGTTACTCTGTGCCAGGAACTGTGCAAAGCACATTTCACTGATTATCTCCTATTAAATTTTTTTTGTACATGAGGAATGGAAGGCCCAAGAAGGACAAAAAAATTCACCATGCCCATGGCGTGATGGGGTCAGGATTCAAAGGCAGGCAGTATGACTCTGGTGGGTCTGTGCTTAAACACTGTGCAATTCTGCACCAGTAATGGCATTTATCAATGCCAAAAGCACATCCCAAACAATGCCTAATCTCTAGGCATTTTCCATTTCATAAAGATGATATGCACCATAAAGACAACAAATGGAAGAGTTAAC